AGCAAATACCCCAAAAAGGAGTCCTGAGAACTCCGGTGGTCCTCAGTTTGAGCTGTATGGGAAAAAGTACCAAAAACTATAAAAATGGTCTTTAAGTGCCTTCTGTGTGTAAATAAACAGTGTAGGGTCGTCCAGGCCTTGTTTACATTTTCTGTGTAAAGTTCGTCATACTTCCATCTGAATCGCCCCCCTGTTCACACGCTCACACACTGAGCACACCAACATGCACCATTCACTTAAAACAAAAAGCATCCTTTGGTCTTCAGGCTACTCTTACAGTATTTGTAACCTCCCGACATCTATTGAAGGCTTCAGTTACATCAACATGAAACTATGGATCACTTGATGCCAACTGTATAAATAAGAGATATATAACCTGGTGCTTATATACCAGCGGTGTGAGTTACTCTATATATCCTCATGGGTTTGTTCACCTTTCAGCAGTCTTTAATAATGCAGATATTAGTCAGCATGAAAACACCGATAGGCTGCTTAAATCCAGCTGTCATCCTCATTCTGCATCATATGTGTTGGTTTGTCTCGTTGCGTAAAGTACATCTCACCAAAGACATGTTTGAATGATAATAGGTAGCACGGGAGACTTTGGTGGTCTCGCATTGTCTTGAATTTGAATAGTCTTCAATATTTTAGTGATGAGATTCAGACTTGGCTCATCAGTGGCTTCACAAACCTGAATTAGGCGAATATTAGGCCATAAATTGAGATGATTAGTTTCACCGCACAGGCCTTTGAATAAATTAAATCTAATGAGTGAATAGCTCACACAGCTGTGTGTGGTGCATCACAGCAGGCCAAGAAGATCTTAGTTCAGGCATCAGATACATCAGAACCTTTCCTTTGGATTTAAGAGCTTTAATGGTGTGTTTTCAGTGTGACATTCAAACTTGTTTTAATACGCACACACACACACACAAATGAATATAGCTGATGGTTTGGATATGAGCTTCTGTAAAGGTCATAGATGTTTTTCTGATCAACCTGAGACTCTATTTGCAATATTGGACTCCCCAGTGTGCGAGTGAGAGTGCAAATGTGCAAGTGTTGGTGTGTCCCAGACCTCGCTGTGGTCTTACAGGTTTTCACTCTCTCTGGTTCTGCTGTTTGGACTGTGGTCTACTCATATAGTCCCTGTGTTGTTTATTGCGGCCCAGAGCCGACGATGGGCCCAATACCTTTGCAGATTTGCCTGCCAAAAAAACTTTTATGATGAAATGTGAGGCAGGGAGAAGGGAGGTGAGGACAAACAGTGAAACTGTTTTCTTTAAGCCTCTGTTTTACTCCGCTAACCAATTTCCAGGATCTACATTTGGCTGTCATTGCAAGCAAGAAGGAGGAATTTAATCAGAGTGTGTTTATGCATTTGTTCGTGCTGTTGGCATATTTAATTACAGATACAGTTTTGTGCCTTGAGATTTGTTGAATAGACATATGTGTGCGCACGTTAGAGTCGTTACAGATTTGGGAATGAATTAATTTAAGCAAAATCCGGGTTTGCCAAGAATTAATAGTTTTGCAACCACAGAATGTTGAAAACATATCAAGATATTTTTTTAAATTATGGGGTGCTGAGTGAGGGACTGGAAAGTTTAAGTGGGTTTTTTTGGAGGAAGGTGGGGTGATATAGATGTGTTTTTAATTCATCAACTCAGCGGAGCTTCTCAGGGCCGTCTCCAGTGTTCCCTTTAGGTTTGACTGAGCCAGACTGGACAGCAGCGGCTTTTCTACTCCTCTCCCTGACCTTTCTCTTTCCTGCTAAAGAAATGTCACGATTACAAAACAGGATATAGTCCCCGGTGTCCACTCGTGTAGGCAGAATCAATACCGTGGTTGTCTTGGAGACAGCAGGAGTCCTATGTTGCATATCATCTCCCTCAAATCTGCACTGAAAGGCGCAAACTTACAATGTTATGCTTGGGGAAATGTGGGTCTGTACCAAAGACAACCTGATTTGAAGACTTCAGGGATTTCTCACACTGACACATCACTCTGTCTCGCTGCAGGACCTGTGCCTTTAAATGGCAATAGGAAATCTCCTGGAGAGTGTGCAGCATGGTTGGAGGGATGGAGTGTTGAGAGAGAGGTGGTAGCCACAGGGGAAGAGAGCGAGAGAGCAAGGTGTTTTTGAAAGATGACACAAGGAAGAAGGGCAGCAGAAGAAAAGGAAAATTGGAGCGGAAATTGAGGGAGAAGAGAGAGGTTAATCACTGTGTGCAGTTAGCCGTCTATCATCTCAGCATGTGTGCCAGCTGATAAAGCCATACAGTATTTCCTGCAGCAGCCCTGCTGTTGGAGCGGTAGCTGGTGAAACAGCAGCATGCCGGTGGTGTTAACATGCTCAGTCCAAACGATGTGTTCACAACAGGCCCTTTCCACCTTCTTTCACTTCTTCATTTATTACGTCCCTCGCTTTCACCCTCACTATTATCTGTCCTTTGATTTGTCCCTCCGCATCTCATCATCCTTCCTTGTTTTTCCATGTACTGTCTCGCAGCGCTGAGTGCTTTAAGAGGGTATTAGCAGGGCGTCTGTGTAGTACTATCACAGCTTAGTGGGCCAGTGCAGGTGAGACAGCAGGGATTTCCTGTTAGGCCCCTTTGCTGCATTCTTGTTAAATTGCTCCTTGCCAGGTGGAGATGGAGGGGAGGAGGTCTCTCGCTCTCACACACGCACATGAATGCAGTGGCAAACATGCACACACACATAGTATGTGCATGTATACTGTACGTGCATTGGTGATAGCACCACTATTGTGCGCGTTTGTGTGTAAATGTGAATGTGGGAGGACAGAGCCGTTCTCAGTATTAGACTTTGGTTGTCTGCCAGAGGAGCAATATGAGATAAATACTTCGCCATCTTACAGCTGGGGGTCCTGGCCTGCTTCTAATGGCACAGTGACAGGCACCCTCTGTGTCCATGGAGTGCACTCTCATTTTACACATGCAGGCACATAAACATATCTGCAGGGAGGAACCAACTGTGCTCCAACACAGCTGCACTTTTCAATTGTGCCTTTAGTGTATCTGCTTCTGATTTTTTCTTCTGATTGCTCTCATATTATTTGTTTTGTCTTGAATTCTTGTGGTTTTAAATTTCTCTCTGCATTTGCACAATAACAAAATAGTCGTTCTAGTTCTAATCATAAACCCTTGTGTGTCATTAATTTTATACACACAGTTTGTGCAACAACATTATTATACATCAGAATAATGATTTAGGTGTTACTGTTGCCTAAAGTGAAGTTAACTGACTGACTAAATCTTACCTCCAGTTGCTCCAACGCCGTCCTCCCTTTATGAATCACAGTAAGCGCCTCGTGAAATACCTGGGAGATACGTTTGAAAGCTAAACAGAGATTTTGCTGTAACTATTTCCACACTGTTCACGTTGTGTCCAAGTAATGACTGTTAACAAGCCTTATGTTACTTCCCTTCATCGATGTGCGTGTGTCCTCTTGAAGTCAAATAAAACCCCTGAAATTATACGTGGGAATAAAGTGAAATTGCAGAAGAACAAACAAGGAGTCGGTTGCGTATGTCAAGTCCAATAAGTAGTGCTGGAACGTGCACAGACATCTCTCATCTCACTACGCTTAGCCAGACACGTCGAACTTCTACGTGTGAGTGTGAAGCGTGTGAGCGCTCTGATCTATGGCAGCAGCGGCCCGATCACACAACACTCTCAATAACAAACACAGGACAGGCTCCTGGCTCTCTCTCTTTCACACACACTTTGCTTCAGTCCGCAGTGGTTCAAGTCATGGACATTAGGTCAGAGTTGAACTTTTACTACTTCCAAACGTCAACAAGTAAATGTGAGAAATGTCATTTCCAGCGCTGAATAATAACATCTGGGCCACCTGACCGAGAACTGGGAAAAATCACGGTGTAACATTTCTTCATCTTTTTTCTGCTTCCTCTTTTCTCTACATTTGCCCGTCAGTCACTCAGCTCTCGTTCATCGTCAAACGGTCTGCCTTAAAACTGTTTTTCACAGATTACTTTCAACCTGTATGGTTGCCTGTCTGTCTGACTGTGTGTGAACTCTGGATATGGTGCATACTGGTTTATGTCCACTTTTCTCTCTCCTGCTACTTGTCTGTCAGTGTTTGTGTTGTGCAGATGCTGCTTTCGGTGTCCCTGTTGATCTGCCCTTACAGTTTTGTTATACCTGCCTATCTGCACTTCTTGTCTTGGTTAATTGTAGGTAGATGCTCTGCGAGTGCGTTTGGAGGAGAAGGAGCAGTTCCTGACCAAGAAGACCAAACAGCTGCAGGACCTGACTGATGAAAAGAGCACACTAACGGGAGAAATCAGAGACATGAAGGACATGCTGGACGTCAAGGAGAGGAAGATTAATGTCTTGCAGAAAAAAGTACGTAAAGCCAACTTTTACACATTGCATTATTTCAAAAAGTGTAGCCTGACTTTAATTGCATATGAAGCCTTTCTGTTGTGAGTTAAATTCAGTCTATTTAGAGAAAAATGCAGCACTTTGTATTATAAGCTCTCTAATTATTCCTTTTATACTAAAATGAATCAAATGAATATTTTAAAAGCTTGGAGTGGCAATAGTGCATAGTGTTGATGTTGATCCATTGAGTCCCAAGTGCTCATCAATAAATTAGAGACAGATAAAGTGAGCATCTTATTATTATTGTACAGAAAAAGAAAAACAGACGTGCTCCCACAGGAATGGATGGAGCCAAAAGGAGAATGAGTGTTGGGCCTAAACACACTCTAAAAGCTCTCAAACCAACAATAATAATAATAATAATAATTCAACAGCTCCACGTGTGAGTGGATTGTAATGTAACTTAAAAAGACAACTTGCTGGACGTTCTCAGCACAGAGCTCAGGCTGAACTTTCAGGGGAAAATCCAAACAATGTGATATTTATTTGTTCTCTCAGTGCCGCTGATCTACCACTCTGACTCTACATCTGGACAAAAAACAAGAAAAAGAAAAGGAGGAACAAGTAACTGAGCTGATATTATTGTGTTATAACACTATTGAAAAAGCTAGCTCTAACTTCCGGCTTTCTTCCACAGTGTTTTTTATTCCCCAACCAGTTGCAGTAGATGGCTGCACCCTTGAATTGAATTGTATAAATGGCGCTGGTGTCGCAGTCATACGTGAGATACAGGACGTCACTGTGCAGCATCGCAGTGTAGGCCAGGATCATAGCTGTTTGTGTTGATGTTCATTTCCAAATTGCTATGGGGGTTGGACATTCAAACAAACACATGCAACAGGATGCTGCTGCTGCCATTTGGTCATTAATGTCAGCTGTTTGTCAGCATTAGAAGGTCATGCTAAAGAAAAGAAGTGTCAGAAACCTTTCAATGCCTAATCTCTCTGTTTTTAATTGTAGAAAAAGTCTAATGTCCAGTGAGTCAACGTACTTTTGTAACAAAAGAAAAGAAGGAAGTCACATTATGACTGGCAGTTTTATTGATTTAAATCAGTTAAATATTTTTCTAGTTCAGTCAGCCATATTAGAAATGAAGTCTGTGGTTAAACACTGAAAGCGAATCGTTGACTGACTGGAGGTTGGCTAATCAGAGTTTTCATCACTGTCTTTGAACATGTATACAGTGCCTCCGTGTGTAAACTTGTACTATGCAGTAAATGGGAATGATGAATTAAAGAAACATCGTACTTTTGGTCCCAGATGCCACACATGACCCTCTCTTTCTGTTTGCACGGCATGTCTCAGAGGACTTAATGAGGATGGCTATTTAAACCGGGCTGGCGGCCACCTGTGGTGCGCATGCTGGCAGTTCCTCTATAGACCAATTACATACACATAAAGGTCTTCTCTCATCTTCCTTGTTTCCTCTCATGTCCTCAAATTAAAGGTCTTCTCCCTCTCTGCCACTTGCTGAGTTTAAGAAAAAGAGCACAAAAGGTCAAATAAAGTGCCATCAGGGTGTATGGGTGCATGTGATTGTTCTAAAAATATACATAATCTTTTATGTTTGTGTGACCACAAGGTTTGAGGATCTTTCTGCACCGCATATAACGTGCTGTACTCCTCCCTATAGCATTGACTTAAGCAATATGCTTGCTTTTAGCTCATCCCTGTTGCACACTCCAGTTGGCTGTGAAGTTGTCCTCTAAAAATGTCGCGTTTACTATAGCTGTTCCATTTAAATGCAAAGTGGCTGCACGTCAAAAGCTCTGTAATTAGGGATGTGTCATGGTTTGCTGTGGTGCTTTGACATCAGTTTTCATCAGTACACGCTCAAACGTGGGCTTACTGCAAATGCTTTGCTTTTCCTTCATATCATTGTGTTGATGGCTGTTTTAACACCAGCACGTTTTTTTTCTTCATTGAAATATTCAGAAAGCCTCCCTCTCTATCTATATCTTTGTGTTTCCTTTTCTTCTTTACAAATATTATTGCTGCAGACGTGCTCCTCATTCATCATGCCACAGTAAACATTAAAAGGCAGAAGTTCTGCAACACCCTAAAAAACGTCAGCAGGAATATGATGAAAATGTTTGAAATATGTGTTAAC